ACGCGATTTCTATTGAAGATAGACGTCTATAGGAGAAAATTGAGTTTTTTCGAAATGCTAAATCTATTATTCAAATATAAGTAGAGCTCTAGCTTACTATATAATAGTGTTTATACTATAAATATATTAAGAATATTTATTAATTTAATATATACTTTATTATATATATATTAATTAAAAATATATTTATATATCAAAATTATTATTTAACTTTAACAACAACTATTATAGAATCAAATATTATTTAAAAAAAAAAGAAATATAAAAAGAGTTCTATTTATAACTTTTTTAGAAATAATTATAGAAAATAACTCTATAGTAGTAGTAGAAAAAAATAATAAAAATAGAGTAAAAATTTTATAATTATAGAAATTTTCTTTTAATAAAGAAAAAAGAATTAAAAAAATAATTAAAAAAATTCTTTCTATAAAATTTAAATTTATTAAATATAAATATTATTATTTTTTATATAAAAAAAAATATATTATATTAATAAAAATTTAATTTAACTTTATTATATTATATAATTAAATATTAATAATATTAAAAAAATTATATAATTTATAAAAAATTAATAATAGAAAAAACAATTTTTATAAAATTAAATATTATTTAAAAAAAGAAAAAAAAAGAAAAAAAGTTCTACTAATAGCTTTTTTAAAAGAAACTAAAAAAATAACTTTATAGTAGTAGTAAAAAAAAATAATAAAAATAGAATAAAAACTTTATAACTATTATAAACTATCTATAATATAGTTTAAATAAAAATAATTATTAAAATAAAAAACTATATAATAGAAAAAATTTAAAAAATTCTAAATTATATAATATATAAATAGTGTTAAATTATTAAAATATTAAGTAATTTAATAATAAATTAATAAATATAGTTTAAATATAAATTTATAAAAATAATTTAATAAAAAATTAAATAAAATAATTTAAAAAATAAATTAAAAAAAATAAAAAAAATAAATTTTTAAAATATATATATAAAAATATTTATTTTTATTTTAATTAAAAATTATTTTTTAATATTTATAATTAAAATAATTTTTAATAAAATAATAATTTTTATAAAAAATTATAGCTTTATAATATTAATTAATATAAATATATTTTTTTTATTTATTTATTATTTTAAACTAATTTTTATATTAAATTTAATTAATATATTAATTTTATTATAAATAAAAAATTTAAAATATAATTATAATATTAAATTAAATTTAAAATTATAATTTTGAAATTAAATATAAAGTATTTTTTTATAATTTAAAAAATTTATTAATATTTTATTATATTTTAATTTATTTATATAATATTTTAATATTTTTTTATTAAAATAATTATTTTAAATTATTTATTAAAAAAGTTTTATTAATATAATATTAATTATTCTATATTTAAAAAACTTTCTTGCTTTGTTAAAACACAACCAGCTAGTGACTATTTATAGCCAAAAGCGACTTAATTTAAAGCTCTTACTAAGCTTAATTTATAGCTTAATTTTGACTCTAAAACACTTTCTATTTCTTAAGAAATTTTACTAAATACACCCCAATATTTTAGGAAAAATTTTTCTTCTCTATTTTGATTTTCCTTGCCAAGCCCTACTTATCTAAGCCCCTTTTTCCTTTTCCCCCTTCCCTTTTCTAATTTTGATTTTCCTTATCTTATCTCTTATTACTTACTACTTATTAATCCTTATCTTTCCTTACCTAATCTATTTTAATAAAAATCAGCGGCCATAGCTAAAATATCTAATAGTTTAGCCAAGCTATTAGGTCCCTACTACTAAGAACTACTAGAAAGTAGCTTAGCTACCTCTAGAAAACTTAGCTAAATACAGTTTTTTCTAGAAGGCTAAAATATCTAAATAGACTAAGCTTAGGTAATATATTTTATATAGATTCTTAAACCCCCTTTAAGAAACTAGAGGCCTCTATAATATTAAAAGATTCTAAATTAGAACTAGAAGGTAGGGACCTCTACTTAAGAGTAAACTAAAGCAATTATTTTAGTTTCTAATTCTCTACTAAAAAGAAAAGTGAAATAGTTAACTATCACTACTTAAAAGATAGTAGCTTTTTTTCCTAGGATTTTTCTTAGAAAAAACAGGAAGTTAGCCCTTACTTTTCTACTTTATAGAGAAATATACTCTATCTAGTATTATCTAAATTAGGTATCCCCTGAGGCAGACTATACTATTTAGAAATATCTCCCTAGATTTTAGAAAGATTTCCCTATAAAAAATCTAATAGTTTAGTAGTTCTCTTTAAAAACTACTACTAGAATATACTTCTTTAAGGGAGAAAGGCTATATACCCTATCTCTTAGAGATATATCTAGTTAAATCTTCTCTTAATATATTTTCTTTTACCGAATAGTTACAGATAACCTATAAACCTAGAGTTTTAGGTAATCTAATAAAACCTACTTACCTAACTATAAGTTAAAAGAATAAGAATAGCTACCTTAAAGAAATCTAAGGAAAAGATCTCCCCTATCCCTTTCTCCTTCTCTAAGGAAAGTAACCCTTTCCAAGCTTTAGAGTTAGAAGATATAGAGATAGATTTAGAGAATCAATTTTCTCCTCCTTTAACCCCTATACCCCTCCCTATACTACCTTAAAAAAGAGCCCCTAAAGGAAGCCCAAAAGCCTCTTCTTCTAAAGAAAATAAGGAGAAAGAAGCTAAAAACTAAAAAACTAGCCTCGCTCTTTCTAAGAAGACTAGCCAGAATAATCTAGAAATTATTCTAAATATTCTAGAGCAGGAAATTAAAGGGGAAGAAGAGCTAAAAATTCTAGAAATCCTAGAAGAACAGAAGTAACAATTTAAATAGCTTCTAGCCTATAGGAGAAATCAATAAAACTCCTTAAAAACGCCTCTTTAGAAGATAGAGGAGAAAATACAATCTCTAGAGAAATTACTAGAGAAAGAGAAGAAAGAGAAAAGAGAGGAAGAACTACTTTAGAGACCCTTCTATACCTTTATTATAAAAGGGAAAAATAAGACTAAGAAATTAAAAGAGGTATCTAAAGAAATTTCTAAAAAAACCCCTAAAAAAGCCGATATCCCCCCTTCCTAAAGAAAACTCTATATTAGTATCCTAAAATCTTAGGACTCCTTAAAAGGATATAAAATAAGAAACGCTATTAATATAGCTTTTTCTTAAGAAAAGTGAATTACTAGCCCCGTTCTTATATTAGTAGGAAAAACCTTTAAGGGAGATAATATTACCCTTACTACTATACCTAACTTCTTAGCTCTATTTCTTCTATAGACTTAACAAATTTATAAGAAAATAGTTAAATATTATCTTCTAGATCTAGGGGAGAAACTATAGTTTAAGAAGAATAAAAAATAGTCTCACCTAGTAATTTATAGAATTCCCCTAGATCCTTTTAAAGGAAAAGGGGGTCTTAAACTCCTTAAAGAAGAGATCCAGATCTTTAATACAGATCTAAAAGATCTTCTAGCTAAAGAACCAGTCTGGCTATTTAGAAAGAAAGAACTAGATTCTAAAACTAAAGGTTCAGCCCTTCTCTATCTAAAAGAGAAAATCCCTCCTAAGCTTCTTCTAATTATAGGCAAATATTATAAATCAGAAGAATATAAACCTAAATAAAAGACTTTCAAAACTAGAATACAATACTATTTCTACTAAAAATATAGCTATAGCTCTATAGAATATAAAGCTATTAAGCTAAACTACTAAGTTTATATAGAAAATCACGAAACTAAAGCCTATAACTACCTAGTTTACTATACTCTAGAAAAATAATATAAATACACTACTATAAAATATATAAATTATAGAGATAAACACTTAGCAGATAGTTAAGACTACCCCTTCTTTAGAAAGCCTTATCTATCTAAGGTACTAGCTAAAGTAGAAGCTAGAGAAGAAGCTAGTACTTCTACTAAGCCAAAGCCCTAGGTCCTAGTTAGAGTTAAAATCCTATAAGAAAAACTATAATAGTAGAAATATAACTAAGCTTTCTTTAAAATAATATAGCTAGAAAAGATATATTAATATATACTTACTTAGATATAGCTTTTAATAATAAAATTAACCTAGTTCTCTTTTAGGAGCCCTAGGTGAGTATAGACTATTAATATATTATAACTTACCCCTCTTACTTCTACTTTCTTCCCTAAACTAGAGAAGTTAGACCTAGAGTAGCGATTTTTATAAAAAAAAAATCTAGATATTAAATTAACCTAAGATTAGATATAATAAATAATCTAGACCTTTTAATTATAGATATAATAAACTCTAAATAAGAACTAGAGACTATTTAGCTAATAAATATTTATAACAAACTATCTTTAAAAGAAAAAATAGAAGGTAGAACTATAGAAAGAGAACTATAAAAAATAACTCCTATAAAGAACTTAATCCTTCTAGGAGATATAAATATATACTATCCTAGATAAAACTTTAAAAGATTATCCCCCCTTAGAGTAAAAAAGCTAATATATTGGTTAGATAAATACTAGTTTAATATAATTAATAAAGAAGATCAAGCTACTTACTTAAAATCTATAGAGAACCTATCTATTATAGATTTTACTTATCTATCCTCTTCTCTTTTAGAGAGACCCTATAATTAATGAATAGAGAAGTCTCTAGAATTAGGCTCAGACTATAAGGTTATCTATTTTAATATAGAAATAGATCCCACTAGCCTAGTAGAGAATCCCCTT